TGTAGCATCTGCAACATGGAAACAATCAAATAAGGGTAAAAAAGTCAAAATGTTAGTCAATTGGTTACCTTATAAATTGACCCTTTTTAATATATTGGAAATTCAGATGAAAAAAGAAAAATAAAGCACTATTCAAACAGGTTTAGATCATTTGGATCGATATAGCCCATTATCAATTTAAGAAGCCCAAGACCAATAAGCACGCACACACTTTCTTGTTCCCCCAGATAGTAGTCTCCTATGCTCTTTCTTTTTCTCTGCATTATTCTTATCGCCGGCTCAGAAATGTATCGACAATTTCCCAAAAACTCAGTCAGCTATGAAATTAACAAAAGATCGTGGAGCAGACTACTTCCCTGTGCCCAGTTGTTGAGGTATAAATCATCGATTCTAATTGCTCTCTGTTAATAGTGTGTTTGTAATTCTAACAATGATGGAACTTAAGGAACAATGATGGAGCTAATATGGGTGAACTCGGCATTATCGACACAGGTATATATTTATTTGTACATTTCTTCTCTCCTCATTACACTGTAGATTTCTTAAGCCACGTGTTGCTTTTCATAGAGTCTCTATGACTAAAATATAGGCGTATGGTCTGAATCTGAAGTATTTAACGACAATGAGATTGGTCCTGTCCTGTGCCGAGCCACTGGAAAGGAGGCTGTGAATCAGGAGAGATGTTCAACTCCTCTCACTGCAACAAAAACCTCATAGGAGCCAAGTACTTCATCAATGGTTTTCTTTCGAGCCATGAAAGCTTCAACTCCACAGAATCACTTGATTTCATTTCCCCTAGAGACTTTGATGGTCATGTTGCCACCATCACTATGTTGCTTTATTTGTGCCCAACATAAGCTAGCTGGTGGGACTGTGGGAGGTGGAGCACCTCATGCTCATATAGCAGTGTACAAGGCTTGTTGGTATACCTGATAACTTGTTCATCAGCTGACATCTTGAAAGCTATGGACGAGGTTATTTTATGATGGTGTTGATGTTCCGTCTCTCACTCTCTCTAGGCTCTGCGGTTCCTCTGTATGGATATACGCGCAGTCTTAAAGGGTAACACAGTTGTTTGTGCCGGTGGTAACTCTGGCCCTGAGGCTGAGGCTGAGGCTGAGACTGTGACAAACACGGCTCCTTGGATCGGGACTAATATACTTGTCTACAATACGGTCCAGTGGGTATGAAAATATAGACTTGGATCTTCAATACTTGCAAGAAAACAAGTGATACTTGGTGGTATCTGAGACTATGTTTCACCGGACTTGTGGTTTGCAGAGCGACTGTTGTGAAGATACAACCTTCTACAACACTTGTTGGACAACTAGTTGGTACAAAGGTGGCAACTTTCTCATCAAGCCGGATATAGAAGCATCAGGAGTGAGCATATTGGCGGCTACAACCACGAATATCACTTTCAATGACCGCAGATTCATTTCAGGAGTTGTTGCTTTTCTCAAATCTTTGCACCGTAATTGGTCTCCTGCTGCTATTAGATCAGCCATTGTAACTACAGGTTCTTTATCTTCTACATCCAATCAATTGAATTAGCTCCACTAGAACAATACTGATCTCGATAAGTGTCTTTAATTATTCTGTAGCTTCCATTTGGAGAGCAGATATTTGCACAAGGGTCACCTCGCAAGCTAGCTGATCCGTTCGACTATGGTGGAGGCGTTGTGAAAGAGGCAAAACTAGGTCTTGTATATGACTTGGGCCTTGATGACTATGTTCTCTACATGTGCTCTGTTGGTTACAACGACTGATCCATCTCTCAGCTTGTTGGAAAAGGAACCGTCTGTATGAATCCCAAACCATCCGTTCTTGATTTCATCTTGCCTTCCATCACAATCCCAAACCTCAAAGAAGAAGTCACTCTCACCAGAACCCTCACTAACGTTGGACCGCTCAACTCTGTCTACAAAATAGTGGTTGAGCCACCATTGGGCGTCCAAGTGACCGTGACGCCGAAGAAAACTAGTGTTTCAATTCAAGGACCAAAAGGGTCTCTTTCAAAGTGAGAGTCTCGACCACACACAAAACTAGTTATAGGTTACTATTTTGGAAGCTTGACTTGGAGTGCATTATGTGACCATTCCTTTGTCTGTGAGAACGCAAATTATGCAAAACTACGGCGATGAGAATTGAAACAAAC